TCCTGTTCCCGTGAGCCTGCCTACTCTAGACCTCTCCTGTGTGCGAAATCATACGGCATTTGCCTTTCTGCTTGGCTTATTTCACTTAGAATCGTGTCTTCGAGGCTCACCCAGGTTGTAGTGGAACAACTCCAAAGACCCTTGAGGCCCAGCCCTTGGGCAGCACCCGGCTGTGGGAGCTGAGAGAGAGCAGAGTCCTAATAATACTGTAGTCTGAATGCCTATGTTCTCCCCAAATTCGTGGATTGAAACCTACCCCTCCGTGCAATAGTATTAAAAAGTGAGGCCATTACAAGGTGACTAGGCAGGGCCAGCAGGTAGCGTGGTGGTTAAGAGTGCTGGACTCCGTCATGGCCAACCATGGATGGAGTTCAAGACCTGGTGGCTTGCCTTCTTGTTTTCTCTCTCCCTCTGTATCTCTCGGGTCAAATTTAAATAAATAAATAAAGTTCAATAAAATAATTCTTTTTTTTTTTTTGAGAGGTTTTTGCTATAGGGTGCGTGCGCTCGCCAGACAGACAGAGACAGAGAGACAGAAAACAGGAAATCACCCCCCAGGGGGGATGTTCACGCCGCAACCCCTTCTCCTCCATTCTCTTGTGATCTTGGGCACGCACGCACATGCGCCCCGTGTGAGTTTAAGCCATTGGGTCCAGGACTTGAACCCTGGTCGACTACATGGGAGTTCAGTGACATAGCTGTTACACTAACTGCTGGTCCCCTGAATAATTATTTAAAAAATAAAATAAAATAAGGTGATTAGGCTGCGAGGGCTCCATCCTCAGGAATGGGGTTCATGTCCTTATAAAAAAGGCTTGAGGGGACCTGTTTGCCCCTTCCTTCTGACATGTGAAGATACAGCAAAAGGGTACCATCTCTGAGGCATCCGGTTGGCCAGCAACTTGGTCTGGAACATCCCAGCCTCCAGAACTGTGAGCAATAGATTTCTGCTGTTTGCAAAAGGTAGCTGCCTGGCAGGTTGTCTGGGTTAGAGTCTGGAGCCAGGACAGCTGCTGCTGGAGGGCTGTTATTTTGGTGCCATCAGATGGTAGCTGTCTCCTGGGGGTGAAGCCACCTCAGAGGAGCACCAGAGACACAAAGCAGAGGGCTGAAACGTGGTATCCACAAAAGGGAGTTGAGTGCTGAAAGCGGTTATCTATTAATAGGAAGAGAATGCCCAGCGAGAAGAAAGCAGAGCCTGCTCTTGATCATGAATAAAATCATCTTGTTTTTTGGAGGTTTTTGTTCTAGGACGCATGCGCTCGCCAGAAAGACAGAGAGACAGAAAGCGAGAAATCACCCCCACCCCCACCACCCACCCCGGGGGAGGGATAGCCATGCCACAATCCCTTCTCCTCCATTCCCCTCTTGGGATCCTGGGCACGCACGCACACGCGCCCAGCGTGAGTTTTAAGCCACCGGGTCCGGGACGTGAACCGCAGTCGACTATGTGGGAGTCCAGCGACATAGCCATTACGCTAACTGCTTGTCCCCATAGGGCACATTTTTTTTTTTTTTTTGAGAGGTTTTTGTTCTAGGACGCATGCGCTCGCCAGAAAGACAGAGAGACAGAAAGTGAGAGATCACCCTCCAGGGGGGATGGCCACATCGCAATCCCTTCTCCTCCATTCCCCTCTTGGGATCCTGGGCACGCACGCACACGCGCCCAGCGTGAGTTTTAAGCCACCGGGTCCGAGACTCGAACTGCGGTCAACTACATGGGAGTCCAGTGACATAGCCATTATGCTAACTGCTGGTCCCCCCCATAGGTCACTTTTTAAGATAATTTTATTCCTAGAGCAAAAACCTCTCAAAAAAAAAAAAAAAAAAAAAAAAAAAAGAAAGAAAGAAAGAAAGAAAAAGGAACACCCTGCAGCTATTAAAAGGACTGAAGAAGGTGGCTCCACACTACTTACGTGGAATGAGTTAAAAGGCTAATATGGGGAACCAGCAGTTAGCGTAATGGCTATGTCGCTGGACTCCCACATAGTCGACTGCGGTTCACGTCCCGGACCCGGTGGCTTAAAACTCACGCTGGGCACGTGTGCGTGTGTGCCCAAGATCCCAAGAGGAGAATGGAGGAGAAGGGATTGCGGCGTGACCATCCCCCCTGGGGGGTGATTTCTCGCTATCTCTATGTCTCTCTCTCTCTGTCTGGCGAGCGTAGGCACCCTTTAGTGAAAATCTCCCTCTCAAAAAAAAAGAAGGCTAATATGGGACCAGCAGTTAGCGTAATGACTATGTCACTGGACTCCCATGTAGTTGACTGC